CTTGTGGGTCTTGACTGATACTTTGCCTTGTTCTACTCTCCAGCTTTTGGAGTCTCCAGAATTTGATAATTTGTCTAATTCTTCCTTTAGTTTTCCAGTTTTAAGCAAGGCACTTTTAAAAAAAGTGCATTGCCTCATTAAAGCGACAAATTGTCCCTTGGGATACGAGTTAATATTTTTCTCGTTTTAGAGGTGGGGAAACTGAGGCACATAGAAGCGAGGTGATTTGCCCAAGGTAACATAGTTGGAAAGTTACAGCTAATTTGCAACCCTGAGTGTGTGACTGTGTACTCTCTTTCAAATATTTGTAGAAGCATTAAATAAGAACAGTTGTAGCCGTGATCCTGGTGGAGCCCTATACTTTATACTTAGTTAACCAGAGAAATGCTGATTTTCCTTCCATGTCACAACCACCCCGCCACATTAACCTCTTGGTGACTCAAATTTTTAGTAGCAAGGAACTTTTAAGAGATCACCGAGTCCAGCCTCTTACTCAATGCACAATTTTACTGGCTGTATAGCAGTAGAGTATAGATTTTGGAATCAGACATATTCAAGCTCAAATCTTAGTTCTGTCACTTTCTAGCTCTGTTGTCTTGGGAAAATTACTCAACCTCCCTGAATCTCAGTTTCCTCATCTACAAAATAAGAAAGATAATGGTTCTTATCTCATGGAATTAGTGGGGGACTAAATGAAGTACAGTATATAAAATGCTTAGCAAGTGACTGGCACAAAGTTTTGGATAAATGATAGCTGTTGGAACATAAGTCTTTGAAAGGCTGCAGATTGCGTATAAGATTTCCTATTATTTTCTTGACTGTTTACTCTGTAACAGTCCTAATTAAGTAGTTAGATGTGATTTTATTCCTTGTGAACATCACACTACTGTTTCCTGAAAAAATTCTAGTCTTGTGGTCCCGAATTAAATACAGTCTATCTGCTGGGATGAGACTCACTGCGCGTCAGCCCCTTGGCTTGCCCTCTTTTGGGCCAGGCTGGGTCTCACCATTGCTGTGGCATGGCCCTTGGGTTTGCTTCCCAAGAGCCAATTTCATCCTTCGCTTCTCTCAGAACTCTCAAGGTGGGCCATCTGGTCTCTGTGATTTATCTACCCTCATTTATTTTGTCACTTTGGCTTAGAACTTCCTCATCAGTGAGCATTATTTGATTAATGCTTCCGCACTGCCCATTACAGTAAAAAACACCCAAGAGTGGACACCCCGATATCCTGAGCTAGGGCTGGGGTGGGCACTCATTTAGCTTATTCCCCCCTCTCCATTTTGTCTTTGAGCCTATTTTCAGCCCCACAGTTATTGGGGCATGAGACCACTTTCTTTAAAGAAACATGTTTAAGGTACTTCTTTAGTGGTTTGTGCCTTGGGCAAGCCCCCCTGCCCCACTTCGCTCATTTTTCTCTATGCATGTAAATTATCTTCCTTTATGGTGTCTTTATTCTCTTCACTTGGAATCCCTGGTGGTGTAAATGGTTAATGTGCTCACCTGCTAACCGAAAATTGGAGGTTCGAGTCCATCCAGGGATGCCTCAAGAAAGTCCTCGTGACCTACTTCTGGAAAATCAGCCATGGAAAACCCAACCCTGTGGAGCAGTTTTTCTCTGACACATATGGGGTTGCCAGGAGTTGGAGTCAACTCCACAACAGCTGGTGGAGATGAATTCTCTTCACTTAGACTGGCTTTTTTTGGGGGATGGGGGACATGTCTGTCTGAATATCCAGCCACTCAGCAGAATTTTAAAGATGCCAATGTTTTTGTCCTGTGGTGTCCCTTTTTTTGGGATCCTCTGGAGTTGATGCTGAAGAAACTCCTATGTTGATCTGAACTGTTATCAACTGGGCTGGATCCGGGATAACTGGAACCCACAGACTAAAGCTTCGGCTGCGTGGGGCAAGAGATTTGGAAAGATCTAAGCAGCAGGCATTGGAAGTAGTTCAAAGTGGCTGATCATGTACTGCCTCAGGGATGTTTGGCGGCAGGCATTGAACCACACTGGGCAGGGAACCAAGACTGAGATTTAGGCTTTGGGGGAGGAGAGCAGGATTGGGACCTGTTTGCTGAAAGTGAGGCAAGCAGGGGCCAGATCACCTGGGAAATGAATGGGCAGAGGCTGGTTGGTTATTGGCTTTGGGCTCTGGGGTCACAGCCTGTCTGAGTTCGTGTTGAACTCTCAGCCCTGAGCCCTGGCCTGGGTTGGGTACATTTTGGCCAGCAGGCCTTTAAGTGAAATAGGTTGAGGTTCCCTTCTTTTGCTGAAATCAGTTTTGTTGTGATTTCAGTTAGCAGCTCACTCATCGTCAACTTCTTGATTTCCATTAGCATTAGTACTTAGAGTTATTACTGGTTCTGGTAGAATATTTTTTTATAACCTTGGTTGTATATGCCGCCTGTTATGGATTGAATTGTGTCCCCCCAAAATATGTGTTGTAAATCTTAACCTCTATGCCTGTGGTTATCCCATTTGGGAATGGGTTGTCTTTGTTATATTAATGAGACAGGATTAGTGTAGGGTGTGTCTTAAATCAATCTCTTTTGAGACATAAGCAAGTGAGAGAAGCAGAGATGGCGGGAGACAGTTGTCAAACCACGTGAAGATTGTCTAGGAGCGGAAGCTCAGAAGAGACAAGGACCTTCCTCCAGAGCCAACAGAGGGAGCAAGTCTTCCACTAGAGCTGGCACACTGAATTCTGACTTCTAGTCCCCTAAACTGTGAGAAAATAAATTTCTCTTTGTTAAAGCCACCCATTTGTGGTATTTCTGTTATAGCAGCACTAGATAACTAAGATAACCGCCGTATAGTAGCTACTAAGCACTCGGAGTTGCTTATTGTGTTACTTAGCAGTCTAGCACTGGTTTGGAGCCCTGGTGCTCAACTGCTAACCAAAAGATTGCGGTTCGAACTACCAGCTACTCTGCAGGAGAAAAATGTGACAGTCTGCTTCTATAAAGATTATAGCCTTGGAAGCCCTATGGGACTATTCTCCTCTGTCCTATAGGTCGTTATGAGTTGGAATTGACTCGATGGCAATGGGAGCATTGGTCAAAAATAGGGGAATGGGGGAAGGAAACTCACATCTGTTGAGTACCTTCTAGATGCTGGACACTGTGCATGTTTTATCCTCATAACAACTCTGTGAAGTAGGTACCCATTTTTGCAGATAAGGTGGGGAAACTGAGGCTCTGAATGGTGGTTAATTGCCCAAGGTCGCACAGGTCAAACTGGCTGGCCTACGTGTCTCTGAGTGCAGAGCCTGCTGTTTCCCTAGAGAAGCTTCCTCTGCAATGTCAGATGTAGTCTACTCCTGGACATATTTGGTGTCCATCTTGATGTGTCAGTTTTAGTACTTACTTCAGTGGTATCCAGCTTCTCCCTCTTTCCTTCTCATCCCCAGCCACAGCACTCCTGAGGGATTAGAAGCATTCCCATTAGTATTACGAGTCCCCCATGACATGTAGGAGGGCATACCCCTTCCCTGGAGAACAGAGCAAAATTTCCCAAAATATGCTAGGGTGATTCTGAAACCATGCTTCTTGCGGGGGTGGGGGCTGCCCCCCATCCTAAAATAGAAAACAAGTATGTGCCCGAATTGTGCCCCTGGGTTGTGCAAATGGTTAATGCACTTGGCTGCTAACCAAAAGGTTGAAGGTTTGAGTTCACCTAGAATCCCGGAAGATGGGCCTGGTGATCTACTTCTGAAAAATCAGCCATTGAAAACCTATGGAGCACAGTTCTGCTCTGACACACATGGGATCACCATGAGTCAGAATTGACTCAATGGCAGCTGATACTGTTGTATATCAGAATAAAGGGAAAAGTTGGGTTAAAAGTTGATCCGCGACCACCTGATATCTCCTTTCTGACCAGACAGAGCTATTCCCATTGGCCTGTCAGCCATACTTGTTCTCTGACAGACAATGCTGGTATCTAGCTGTTGGTTCAGGTTTTATTTTTATTTTTTTATGTTACCAGCAACCAGAATGTTCTGTCATCCCTATAGTACATGTTTCTTATCTTATGACTTATAATTTCTAACATTACAGCTTATTTTCCATTACCTTGCATTTTGGGTGGATGGTTCCCAGATGAGATTTGGATTCCTGAAGGGTATTTTAGTGGCACCTTGATCCCTTTCCATACATGTTTATTATCTTTTCTGTCAGTTGATCAGTCTTGTCTGCGTATGCATTGTTTCTTATTTTTAATTTCGGCTTTCACACTCATGGCCGGGCCTCCAGATGGGGTAATGCCTTTCTTGGGGACCTGCAGCCCTCCGTGCCCTGATTACCCACCACAGGAGAGGGCTTCTGCCTTTTATCCCCCTCAAACCCGCCAGGCAAGCCAGTAGGTAGCTCTAAACCTCCCTACAAACCCCACTCCCTACAAACCCCACTGCCTGTTTATTTGGCATTATCAAGGAATGTGATAATTCATTTAAGTGACTCTTGAGCTCCAAACCAGTTTTCTAATTTAACCATTTCACTGCCTGGAGTAATTCTCCTTTATTTGGCATCTTCAAGAACTGTGATTATTTGTGAGTGAATGTTGAGTTCCAAATAGTTTTTATACTTTAACCACTTAAATGAAGGGCCTTAAGCTAACTGGCCCTTGACTTTTAGGATTTTTAGATTCTCATGTCTGTATTTTATATTTTCGTGGTGACTCTTCTGTTGTTAGGAGTTCCTGGGTTGCACAAGTGGTTAAGTGCTTAGCTGCTAACTGAAAGGTTGGAGGTTCAAATCCACCCTGAAGTGCCTCAGAAGAAAGACCTGGCTATCTATGTCTGAAGGATCACAACCATTGAAACCCCTATGGAGCACAGTTCTACTCTGACACACATAGGGTGGCCGTGAGTCTGAGTCAACTTGACAGAAACTCGTTTGGTTTTTTGGTTTTCTTTTGTTGTCAGTTTTTGCTCATCATTACTGAAGTGCCTCCAGTAGGTCCCTTCTTCCCAATGAAACTTAAACACTTTCTTCCTTACAGCATTGCGAGGACCAGATGAGATGTTGTTGTTGTTAGCTGCCATTGAGTCGGCCCTCTATACATGGTGACCCCAGGTGTTACAGAGTAGAACTGCTGCATGGAGTTTTCTTGGCTGTAATCTTTATGGAAGCAGATCACCAGGCCCTTTTTCCATGGAGCTGCTGGATGCAAACTGCTTGCACCACCAGGACCTAGGACCAGATGAGGCAACGTAAAGGCATCCGAGCTATGAACTAGAGAGTCCCTATCCTGCTGCTGGGTTTCCACTTGTGAGAAGAGAGACCTGAATTCAGGAGGGCCTAGGAAAGCTGCAAACTCCACAACTTGCTAGCTTTGTGATTTTGGGCACGTAAGTGAAGCTCTTGAAGATCCTCAGTTTTCTCAGCTATAAAATGGGGATGATATTCCCCCACTGTATTTTATTCAGTTGCTGCAAGGCTGGGAAAAAAGAAGCCCTCAAACGTGTTTATTAAAGTGAGTATAAACCCAGGTGGCTTTCAAGCATTCACTGGTGGTTTTATTTAATGTGCAGGTTTCTTATAAGCTTATTCTGAAAACTGCTATAAAGAACTGCTAGTTGTCTGGGGCTTGTTCTTCCGGGAATACTCAGTTCCCAGCCCCTTTCCTCCCGTTTCTGTTCTGAATAAAGTGCCAATTCAGCAATCATCTGTCTCCTTGCCTCCTCCTGTAACTCTCACAGTTTAAATCAGGTTTAACCACACACACACCTGCACGCACACACAGGCCCATGCATTCATGTACGCGCGCTCTGCAATGTGTGCTTAGCCCCCCATGCATGTGCAAAACAGCACCAGACAACCTCTTCACCTTATGTGGCACATTTGTAAGCAAATTTCACTTATAACTGCTTCTCTGTAGTATTCTCCCCATTTTCAGAACTGAGTTTTCTACCTGTTTCCTACCTGTTTTAGAACTAAGTTTCAAGCTATTTTTCTCCTCTTTATTTTGACCCTTCTGTGACACAAGCTGTTAAGAGCTCAGCTGTTAGCTGAAAGGATGGCTGTTCAAGTCTACCCAGAGGTGCCTCAGAAGGAAGACCTTGCAATCTACTTCTGAAAAATCAGCCATTGAAAACCCTGTGGGGATCAAATTGACAACAGCAGCTTGAAAGATTAGATAGGAGCCTTACTGGACAGTGAGTTTATGTTATTAAGAGAGGAACAACTCAGAAAAGGAGGGTAAGAATGATTGCACAACTCGAATGTAATCAGTGTCACTAAATGGTACATGTAGAAACTGTTGAATTGATGTATGTTTTGCTGTGTATATTCTCAACAACAACAACAAAATAAGTTAAAAAAAAGAAAATCCTGTGGAGTACCGTTCTACTCTGACACACATGGAGTTGCCATGAGACAAGGTCAATTTGATGGCAACTGGTTAGTTTGTTTTTGGTCTTCATTTTAAGACAGGTGGCAGGTATTATTTCTTATAACACATCAGTCTTGAATCTGAGTCTCTCCTCACCCCTGAGAATATCATCTCTTTAAAATCACAAATCTGCATGGGATAAGCAAGATAATGGTCTTTACCCTCCAAGGGCTTACAGTCTATGGGAAGTGGCAGTCCTCTTGGTTTGAGTTGAAATAGTTCTTGAACCCTAACTATTTTGTTTAATACAGAATGGTATATGCATTACAGAGTTATGGACAAAGGGCACTGGTGTTTCTGAAAGCAAATAGGGAGGTAAGTGTGAAGGAAAGGGGAAGTGTATTTGTTCCTAGATAGGACTGTGAACATACTTCTGTTCCATGCCGGTGTGCAAACAGAACGATCCCTTTTACTTGACTGAATGACTGTTGTGCAGTCAGACCAACGAAAGTATTTGTTGATCAGGATCATTTATTATTTCTGGGGAGAATTCCCTGTAACCAGATCAGATGACCTACTTCTGTGGCCCATCTGCTGGAATATGAGAGTTGCACTGCTATTTGAGGCCCTTATTTTTCTCTTCCATTATTCTATTACCTCTGTTTCTCACAGTAATGGGAAGGCTGGGTGCTCATGCACAGGGGATGCTGTAGAGAGCATTCCAGCCCTGAATGGGAGTTGACTAACCTTTAAGGTTTCCGTCAATCCTGACATTCTATAATTTTAACTTTATGGGTAGCCTAAACTATTATACATCAATGCAGTGTAATCCAGTTTTTGAACACGTTCAGCAAAAAGACTGTAATTAGAATGTCCTGAGAATCCGAATCCATACTGTCATTAACTGACCAGCTGATTTAGAAATATTGCTATTGAATTGACCACTAATATGCTCAGTGCTGTGTATCTCAAGCTTGTCCTGGGAAATCTAAAAATACACATACACATACATTTTTAAAATCATATAACAGGATTTGATGAATAACTTCAGAGGTCTACAAGTTTTAGCTGAGAGGCTTGAGTGCTGTCTGTAGGGTTTTTATCCAAAGCGAGACTGGGCAGAGGGTCCTCTGGGAAGAAAAGGTCATTGTGTACTCAGTAAAGTATTTTTCCCCCGCTTTGGAGAGGCATCTCAGAAAAAATAAGACTTGAGAACCACTATGCAGCAGTTGGGTAGTGATGATGGGGTATGACAGCCTGCTCTACCAAGGTTCACATGTTGTTGTTGTTGTTAGGTGCCATCAAGTCGATTCCGACTCATAGTGATCCCACATGACAGAGTAGAACTGCCCCATAGGGTTTCCCAGGCTGTAATTTTTACAGGAACAGATCACCAGGTCTTTCTCCTGCGGAGCCGCTGGGTGAGTTCAAACCACCAACCTTTCGGTTAGCAGCCTAGTGGTTAACCGTTGTGCCACAAGGGCTTCTTAAGGTTCACATGAGCTGCAAACTAGGACGATCACACATACATTTGCATTTACTTGTGTATGCTTGCAAGTGCACGTGGCATCTGTCAATGAAGATATTCCCTAGCTAAGAATGCTGAAAATGAATTGCTGAGGAATGTATTCGCCATTGAGTTTTGTTGTAAAATAAGAGAGAGAGTTTGCTGCAGACATTTTGGTCTTTGGATAAGCTTAATGCATCACACTGAAAAAAAAATTAAGTTAAAATTCTTAAAGATTTTAAGGAAAAAAAAATTAGCAACTTGCTGATAAAACATTAAGAATGATATGCAAAATATTGGCGAAAGAACTAAAAACTCGAACTATTTTTCTACGCAGTGGTACCCAGTGGGATCAAAACACATACAGAAAGGTGAGGTTTAGTAGAGAACCTGAAACTGTTGTTTCAGGAGGGTTGATGTTCCTCACCTTGATTCATAAATTGTTCATTAGAGAGGTAGCAAGCACCCAAGCTTTAGCAAATAGGAATCTTACTACAAACTTCAACTTCCTTAACTTAAAAAAAACAAAAAAACAAAAAACCTTTTTGTTTACATAATTAATCACTTTGACTTATGACCTGTGTTTTACAAGTGCCCCTAGGTGTTGTCCATGGTTTGCTGTGGTGTCCCTGGGGAGTAGGAGAGAGCAGCCAGTGTGTGTGGGTACATGCACATGCCTGCATGTGCTGAGATGTGGTTGTCTAACAACAGTCACGTGTCAAATAGCAATTTGCAACTCAGAACCACAGAGAGGGTTTGTTTTACTAGTCTGTTCTAGTTATTTAATGGATGGCAGATGTCCTCATTAAGGGACTAACGTTTGCTGAGCCTGGAAAAGGGCTAACCCCTTTTGGACATAGACGAAAATACATATTCTGGGGCAGCTAACTCCTCCTGGTGGTGACAGCAGTAGGGGTGAGAAGCACAAGAGAGTTCAGGATCCCCTAAAACTATACATCAGCCTAGAACTATTCTTTAACATGAATGTCAGTTACTTGTTTTAATCAAGGAATTTCATAATTCAGGAATGTAAAATCGTGAAGTGGATTTTGGCTACATGTTGAAATACTTTTATTGTTACCCTGAAATAGATGTTTCTTGATTTCTTTTTGCTGCTCAGGAACCATATGGAAAATCAGGGGATGGCTGGTTTACATGGACCTCTGATATCTCCCAAGGAAGAAACCAACAGAAGAGTGAATAGAAGTAGAGATCAGGGAAGAGAGGTTTGAAGGAGGCTACAATAAGGAGCCCTGGTAGTGCAGTGGTTGAGTGCTTGGCTGCTAACTGAAAGGTCAGCATTTCGAATCTACCAGCCGCCCTGTGGGAGAAAAGACCCAGTGATTTGCTCCCGTAAAGATTTACAGCTTAGAAAACCCTGTGGGGCAGTTCTACTCTGTCATATAGGGTCACAATGATTTGGAATCGACTTGATGGCACACAACAACAACAATTAAAATGGTAGAAGCATACTAGGAAGGGAGAGTGGGACCTTTGATACCCTAGCATAATTTGCTGCAATGGTTGGGAAAGAGACTGGGATTAGGGAGATGTGGAGATGGTTGACCACTAACTGAAAGGTTGGTGGTTCGAACCCACCCAGTGGTGCCAATGAAAGAAAGGCCTGGTGATCTTCTTTAAGAATTACAGGAAGAATTAGAGCCAAGAAAACTGTGGAGCAGTTCTACACTGTAACACATGGGGTTGCCAAGAGTTGGAATCAACTTGATGGCAACAGATCGGTGTGTTTATTTTGGTTCTGAGATGGTATGGAACCCAAACAAAGCCCTGAGGTACTAAAATAACAAGAGATCCTGGAAAGTCACTCTAGGGCCCAGAGGTTAGCATTCCTCCTCCACCCACCTTTATGGTAGACTTTTGTAGATGTTCTCATTCACTTCTGGATCCCCAAAGACTCTTTATCTGTAGATCTAAAGTCATTTGTTGTGTGCTGCCCAGTCGATTCTGACTCGTAGCCACCCTGTATGACAAAGTAGAACTGCCCCATAGGGTTTCCCAGGCTGTAATCTGTACAGGAGCAGATCTCCAGGTCTTTTCTCCTGCAGAGCCGCTGGTGTGTTCAAGCTGCCTACCTTTTGGTTAGCAGCCATGCGCTTAACTATTGCACCACTAGGATGCCTTAAAGACATTTACTCCTCAGTAAGCTTAAGAACTATTGAAGTTGTCAAGGATTTCATTTTACTTGGATCCACAATCAATGCCCATGGAAGCACCAGTCAAGAAATCAAACGATGTATTGCATTGGACAAATCTACTGCAGAAGATCTCTTTTAAGTGCTAAAAAGCAAAGATGTCACTTTCACGACTAAGGTGCACCTGACCCAAGCCATGGTATTTTTAATTGCCTTATACACATACAAAAGGTGGACAAAGAATAAGAAAGACTGAAGAAGAATTGATGCCTTTGAGTTATGGTATTGGCAAAGAATAATGAATATACCATGGTCTGCCAGAAAAACAAATATGCCTTGGAAGTACAGCCAGAATGTTCCTTAGAAGTGAGGATGGTGAGACTTTGTCTCACATACTTTGGACATATCAGGAGGGACCAGTCCCTGGAGAAGGACATCATGCTTATTAAAGTAGAGGGCCAGCAAAAAAGAGGAAGACCTTCGACAAGATGGATTGGCACAGTGGCTGCAACAATGGGATCAACCATAGCAACGATTGTGAGGATGGTGCAGGACCAGGCAGTGTTTTTTTTCTGTTGTACATAGAGTTGCTGTGAGTTGGAACCAACTCGACGGCACCTAACAACACAATAACAAGTTTAAGAGTTATGTTTGTCTTTAGTGTTATGAGTCATTGGTTAATACAAATGAGGCATTGAATACCACCTAGTGATACTGTCTTAGGCTAGATTGTTTTCATAGATTATTTGTCAGATTTTCCATTTCCATGCTGTTAATCTCAGTATAATGTTAGCTAAAGTTTTCAGTAGCTTTTTGGATTCATTACGTTATCTCTTTGTGCCCTGTTGTTGTTGTTAGGTGCCCTGGAGTTGCTCCCGACTCATAGTGACCCTGTGTACAACAGAATGAAATGCTGCCCAGCCCTGCACCATCCTCACAATCGTTGCTGTTTGAGCCCATTGTTACAGCCACTGTGTCAATCCATCCCTTTGAGGGTCTTCCTCTTTTTCACTGGCCCTCTACCTTACCAAGCATGTTTTCCTCCAAAGTACTTGAGAAGCAGTCCGCTATCCTCACTTCTAAGGAGCCTTATGGCTGTACTCCTTAGTGCCCTCTTAGAAGGCAGTATGTGTATAAAGGTCTTCCTAAACCTCTAAATAATTAACAGTGAGTTGGGCTGTTTGACGAGGTCAGACCAAGGCATTGACCTTTATTTTGTAGGTAGGAGGGTAAGATGCAGGTGGAAAAGAGATTTTCAAGGAAAGAAAGTGCATGAGGAAATAAAAGTATAGACTTGTAGAACTGGGAACTATTTTTTTTTTTTTTTTACCAAGGTTCATTGACATAGAGAAAAAATACCATATAGGTAAAATGCAATTTAATGGAGTATTTTGTTTTGAGAGCTCCTATACCTACTGGGATAATGGGAGGAACGTTGTCTTTGACACCAGATGGACATGGGTTCAAACCCTAGGGCTGCTGTTCCCTAGTAGCATGTGGCCTCTGCAACCTAATCTCTTTGTGGTCCAGATTCCTCACCAGAAATAAAAGATATGTTCATCTCAGATTGTTCTGAGGGTTAAATTAGATACAATTTGTGAAAGCCAGTATGTATTAGGCATTTAATAAAGATATTTTCCCTTCTCTCTCTTCTATTTTTAAAAATTGTGATTTGGGAGTACTATAAATAAATAATAAAACGTATAGTATTTCAGTGTGGAATTTGGGCCAGTTAAAGGAGAAAAGCTAGAGAATGGGACAAATGTATATGGAAACAAGCCTGAAGTGGGCACTGTGTATGCCAACCCAGCAGATTTTGGAAGTTGCATGCTTAAAAACAAAAGGTATTCTTTAAATTAAAAAAAAAAAAAAAAAAGAAAGTGGTTTACAAAAGCACTGTTAGAGTTTGTTAGCCAAGCATTTCAGGCTCTGTCTAAAGATTAGAAGCCCAGGAATTTGGAAATGCTACCCTTTCTTCATTTTTAGTGGTAGAAACCCCAGACTTCCTGTTCTGGAAAGTGGGGGTGGCCACCCCATGTTTGTCAAGAAAAGGGTTGTCTCTTTCTCTGGATTGATGCTTCCATCTTCTGTCTCTAAGTGGCATTGCAACTTCACCCCGTGCTCTTCTGAGTTGAATAAAATCAAACTGAGAGTTAGAGGCGTTTGTTTCTGGCCTGAGACTTCAAGGACAAACATAGGTGACTGAGTTTCGAAAACCGATTTAGGGTCAATGCTCTGGTAGCAAAGTTGTTAAGAGCTTGGCTGCTAATCAAAAGATCAGTAATTCAAATCCACTAGCCGCACCTTGGAAACCCTGTGGGGCAGTTCTACTCTGACCTATAGGGTCACTGTGAGTCAGAATCTGTTCGCCAGCAACGGGATTATACATTTTTCTGTAGTGGTAAAGAATTTACTCCTTATATTTTTCTTCCTTTTTATTGTTTTAGTAAAGCTTTTTAATACAGTGTTATTGAATGTAAAATCACCAGACACCTGTATGAATGCTGAGACTCTGACTTTTATCTTTTTTTTTTCCCCTAGGGAATTCATGGTAGAAATACCATGCTATCTAATTCCAGCCCTTGAGGCTTGAATAACACACTTGTAAAACAAACCACTCTTTTTCTTAACATTTGCAACTTTATTATTATTTTTTAAAATTATTTTTGCCATTTACTTTGTGTTATTGTGGAGATGTTCTTTAGCATGATCTGCTGGGATGGTTAGGAAAGAAGCTAGGATTAGGGTGATCTGAAGATGACATGGGACCGAAACAAAGTGCTGAGGTACTTTTGAATGAGGGTAAAACATAAAGGTGGTTTATAGAACTGTTCAAAGAAAGTTTGAACCAATAGCTATGGTGACAGGTTTTTTCTTGGTGTGAATGCGGGCTGGGAAAGAGGAATGGGTTTGTGTGTGGGAATGTGGTTAGGGCAGTGTTGAAATGCTAAGCTTTATAGACTGGGTGGAATTAGCCTGGTAGGGCATTCCGGATAGGGGAAATGGCATTGGTATGGAGGGATGTGAAAGCTATACTTGCTACAGCACCTGGGATTAGCTTTGCACATATCAGGCCCTCAATTAACGGAAATAAATGAATAGGAGGGAGCAGAGGATCTGGAAGAGCTGTGAGTGTGCCAGGGAGTCAAGAGAAGAAGACCCACAGGAAGGCTGAGGAACTGCAAGGGCTCTGGAGAAGGAGGGTGTTTGCAGTGTGCTGGGTCTGATCCTTCCCCTCCTGCCAGCAGACCCTGGGCCTGGGAGCAGGGGCTGTATGTAGGAGCAAAGGAATCAGATTTGTGGGGAGGGAACTGCAAAGTTCAGGCTTGTTGTCTGTGATTGAATGAAAGTCAGTTCTCAGAGGGGAGCTTGTGAGAATGAAGCTGGTGAGAAGGGCAACAAGTAGCTGAAAATGGGAGGGGTGACAAGTTAGGAGTGTGCATTTGGTGGTTGCGAGCACAAAGCTGGACTCTTTGGCGGTTGAGTGGTACCTTGTGATCCCAATTTATGATGTAGATGGTGGAGATGGGTGTCAGTGGAGCCAAAGAAAATGAGAAATAGGGGCATGGGAAGCCATATGTCATAGGTCACAGGAAGAGCCAGAGCATATTTGGAAAGAGGAGGGAGAACATGGTTTAACAGTAAGAAACACAGACTTTGAAGTCAGCAGATCCTGGGGTCCCCGTCCTGACTGTGCTTCTTACCAGCTTTGATTTTGGTCAAGTTTCTTAATCTTTCTGAGCCTTAGTTCTTTTTTTTTAAATTGTGGTAAAACTTAGTTTTTTAAAGAGTAGAACAAGGATGGTACCTGTGAGTGAAAGAATGCCTGTAAACCACTTAGCACAGAGTCTGGCAAAATAGTCAATGCTCTCAAGTGTTAGCTATAAGTACAGTGTGTATATACATAAATAAGGTGTTCAGTGGTGAGCCATCCAAATGATGTGAGGGTTAAAAAATATCACCTAAATGGAAAAAAAAAAAAGGACTATTCATCCTGGAAAGGTAATGTTTGTAAGGATCTGAAAGGTAAGGCTGGTAGAATTCCCCAGTGAAAGACATCGAGTCCAGGGCTTTTCTTTGTTGGGAGGTTTCTGGTTACAAATTCAATTTCTTCACTTGTTATGGGTCTTTTGAGATTTTCTACTTCCTCTTGAGTCAGTTTAGGTAGGTTATGTACTACTAGGAATTTATTCATTTCGTCTAAGTAATCAAGTTTATTGGAGTACAAATTTGTAGTATTCTTTTATGATCCTTTTTAGTTTGTTGAGTCAGTTGTAATGTTTTGGCTTTAGTTTCTTCTCTCTTTTTTCTTTGTCAGTCTAGCTAAATTTTGTCAATTTTCTGAAAGGTAAATCTAATACAGAATTACATAGAAGCCTATGCCCAAACGGTTTATTTCCACTTAGGCTAGAGCTAGATTGGACTTCATCACATCAATGTTACTTTGCATTTATATCACACTTTACAGTTTGTGAAGAGCTTCTTCAGAAATGTTCTCATTTGATCCTGTGAGGCGTCGGTAAGAATAGTAATTAGTGTTCTGATTTATTGATGAGGAAACAGGATCTGAGAGGTTAAAGGGACTTGAAACTGAGTGGGGACTGACCGTGGGTCCTCTGATAGCTGATCTAGTATGTTTTTCCCTGAATCTCACTTAGCAGGGAGGAAGTGGGTTAGAGCAGGCATTTCCTAGTAGGAAGGTTGTTGACTGATGTGGATTCCTGAGGGAAGTTGTAGAGCCTTTTTCATGGGAGAGACCTGGAAGATGGAGTTACTCTTTTCTGGAATGGTATGAGTGTTTGAAGCTGGAGTGGCCCAGATGGCCTCTGAAGGCTCTGCCCAGTCTTGTGGTCATTGAGTGCCAAGGGTGTTAGAATCCTTCCTCAGGCAAGAGGATTTTAACTAATGAAGCATGAAACCAAGGTTCTTTTTTTGATCTCTTCACTAGCTCTTCTCCTGTATAAAATGGTGAGGCTAGTACTACCTGTTTCCCTGCTTTCTGGAGTTGTTGTGTGATAAATGAGAGGTACTTGGAATCCCAGAGGATGCTAAAATGATGTGTGTCATTTTCAAATGAGCCCCTGAGCCCTGGGTGATCAGTGAAACTTTCCCTCATGATGCCAGTTGTGGGATGAGGTTGACGAGGCATGGAATAGTCTCGTTTGGTTTATGTCAGGGTAACACAGGTTGTCAGGAAGAATAAACAGCCGTGCTGTCCTACATTTTGAAGACACCTGAATACATTAGTGGTCCGACACTAGGTGCTGTTGGAAGCAATGTGCAGGCAACTTCGAGGCAGAGCAGGAAAATGGAAAGAGCCCTGGATTGAGAGGAAGGAGACTAGACCTTGTTCCAGCTCTGGCACCAACTACGTTTGTCACTATGAACAAGACACTTAAGCTGTCAGCTTTAGTTTCCTAAAGTGTAAAAATGAGACGAATGACGTGGTTCATATCTGGTTCTTTGCAGCTTTGAAGACAACTAATCTTCAAGTAGCCTAGGAATCTGCATGTGTCAGACAGATGCTTTGACCTAGCAATATTTTATCCAGGAATTTAAGCTAAGAAAGTGATTGATGTGTATGTGTGCTGAAGTTCAGCAGGCAGAGCAGGATGTTCACTGCAGGCAGAGCAGTTTAAACAGCAAAGCATTGAACACAACTTTAACGTACAATAGTAAGGGATTTGTTAAATTAGCAGTGATGCATCCACCTAAGAAAATACTGTGTGGCTTTTAGAAGTGTTTTTATAGAATAATATTTAATGATATAATAAAACTTACACAGTATATTAAGTGAAAGTTCAGTTTACCAATGATCCCATTTTTGTAGAAATAACAGTATATATAAATAACATGTAGAAGAAAGCATGGAACACTATACAACAAAAGAGTAACGTACCTCTGGGAGGCAGGTTTATGAGTGATTTGTTTTTTGTTGTGGTTATCAGTATTTTCTAAATGTCCTATTTTTGTAAAGAGAAAAAAATTGTAAAAGTTACTTTAAGATGTTTCATTCAATGTAACTGACATTGGCTCCTTCTGTGTGTAGGGTGCCGTATTGAATGCTGAAGGAAGTCCCTGCTTTCAGATTCCTCCAGATAGTGGTAAAGGATTCTGCTCTCTTTGCCTCCCCAGGAAAGGCAGCAGCATGGCCAGTGTGCTTTCCCGGCGCCTTGGTAAGCGGTCCCTCTTGGGAGCCCGGGTGTTGGGACCCACTGCTTCAGATGGGCCACCGGGGACCGTCCAGCCCTTGGAACCTCAAGTGGAGCTACTGGAGAGGGCTGCTCCACAGCCTTTCCTTGCCTATAAGGACAGTTCCTGCCCTGAACAACCCAAGGAAGTCCTCAAGGCTCCTGGCATCTCAGGCCTCCAGCAGGTGGCTTTTCAGCCTGGGCAGAAGGTAGGTTGGTACCCAATGTGTACAGGTGTATGCTTTACTCAGGCTGGGGCTGGAAGGCCAGGAATGTCCCCCGTGTCAGGCAGGAAACTCTTTGGGCACCAGTTTGAGCACAGACCTTTTCCTTCTGGCCATGTGGACCCTTGGGCAGGTGGGCTTCCCAAGAGAAGGTACCATCATTAGGGGCCCCAGGGCTCCTCGAGGGTTCCTTCATGACAGTATTAACCGGAGTGAAAGCTGGCAAGACCTGACATCTGCAGTTCTGGGCTTTAGGCTACTCAAAATCTCAGTTCGAAGTATGGTCATGGGTCCGTTTCTCCTAATTCTCCCTCAGTTTGCCACTTTACAAAACAAGGGAAATAATCTCAGACTTAAAAGAGCCAGCTAAGATTGCGTCTTTGAATTACCTTTAGATATTTTCAAGAGATGAACGTGTTTCTTTAGTTGGAATTCAATTTGGATTTCCTTTTCCCTTCCCTTGCAGCAGGGCCCAGTCACATCTGTACCTGATATTAGCATTAGATCCAGGTACATGTGGTTCTCTTTCATTGCCTTCTCAAGGGCTCAGTAGAGACTCTGTCTTCCCATCTCCCCTCCCTGAAGCGTGTGTTCTCCAGGCCTCTCTTCCCACAAGGCAAAGTGTCCTGCCAATGCCAGGTGCCCTTTGAGACAGGTCAGTCTACCTCTTCACCCCCTGTCCTCTTGTCCAGGTAGACTGAGAATTCTCTGAAGGGAAAAATGCAGGGTATGAGCAATTGAAGACAGCAGTTGGGAATCAGCACATACGTGGGGACATTAAAGGCAAGGCAAGGGAGGAAATCAGGAGGAATGGACACAGATTCCGAATTTAAATCAATCCCTAGAAACTGACTGTTCACTGACTCCTGTCTATAGAGTTTATTAAGGACCTGTTTTGGGAAGAATCAGTCCAGTTTGGCTAGTGTGGGTTTTCAGACGGGAACCAGGTACCTGGGAGCATCTAGCTGAATTAAAGATGAGTAAGTCAGAGAAGCAGTTTATGGCAGGCAGATCCTGACTCCTGGAAGTTGGGGCATATGAACTCTTTAGGGGTAAGAACTACCAAGTGCTGACCACTATTGTGTTTTTCTTCCTCTCAGGTTTATGTGTGGTATGGAGGTCAAGAGTATACAGGACTGGTGGAGCAGCACAGCTGGGCAGAGGATAAGGTGACTGTCTGGCTGTTGGACCAGAAGTTACAAATCTGCTGCAAAGCAGAGGAGGTGTGGCTTGCAGAGCTGCAGGGCTCCATTTCCCAGGTACCACCTACAGAGCAGGGAGCCCAGGTGCCAGCCTACAGGCCTGTCTCCAGGAACATTGACGTCCCAAAGAGGTTCGTGTGGGAAGAATTTGGGCTCTGTAAGTTGTGTGGGTCATGTGAAGTGTTAGGTTGTAGGCTGTCTTGTGATGGAGGGGTAGAATGTGCAAGTCATAGGTGTCTAGTCAAGATATTGGACAAGTGGCTCAGAACCTACTATATAGCAACAGTAGTTGAAACAGCCTGATACTAGTACAACGTCAGACACATAGACCAATGTAGTAGAATCAAGAACCCAGATGTAAATCCATCTACCTACGGCCACCCGATATTTGTGAAAGGGCCAAAGTCCATTAAATGGGGGAAAACACAGTCTCTTTGACAAAGGTGTTGGCATAACTGAATTTCCATCTGCAAAAAAACAAGAAACAGGACCCATACCTCACACCATACACAAAAACTGACCCAAAGTGGATCAAAAACCTCAATATAAAACCTAATATTATAAAGATCATGGAAGAAAAAATAGGGACAATGCTAGGGACCCTAATACACAGCATTAACAGGATACAAACTATAACTGACAACACACAAACTCTGGAAGATAAGCTAGATAACTGGGATCTTCTAAAAATTAAACACTTATGCTCAGCAAAAGACTTCACCAAATAGTGGGAAGAGAACCCACAGACTGGGAAAAAATTTTTGGCTACAACATATCTGACAAGATTCTAATCTTTAAAAATCTATAAAATACTTTAACACCTTAACAACAGAAAGGTAAATAATCCAGCTGAAAAATGATCAAAGGATATGAACAGACACTTTACTAAAGAAGACATTCAGGTGGCTAACAGACACATGAGGAAATGCTCACAATCACTAGCCATTAGAGAAATGCAAATCAAAACTACATTGAGATACCATCTCACCCCAACATTACTGGCACTAACCAAAAAAAAACAAAACAAAATAACAACAAAAAAACCCAGAAAATAACAAATGTTGGAGAGGTTGCAGGGAGATTGGAACTCATACACTGCTGGTGGGAATGTAAAATGGTACAACCATCATGGAAAATGATCTGGCACTTCCTTAAAAAACTAGAAATAGAAATAGCATATGATCCAGCAATCCCACTCCTGGGAATATATCCTAGAGAATTAAGAGCTGTCCCACTGATAGACATATTCACGCCCATGTTCATTGCAGCATTATTCACAATAGCAAAAAGATGGAAACAACCTAAGTGTCCATCAACAGATGAACAGATAAATAAATTACGGCACATACACACAGTGGAATACTATGTGATGTTAAAGAACAATGATGAATCCGCAAAACATCTCACAACATGGATGAATCTGGAGGGCATTATGCTGAGTGAAATAAGTCAATCACAAGAGGATAAATACTGTATGAGACCACTATTATAAAAACTCAAGAAAAGGTTTACACACGGGGAAAAAAACCAAAAAACTTTGATGGTTACGAGGGAGGAAGGGTGGGGAGGGGAAATCACTAACTAGATACAGACAAGTGTTGACTTTGGTGAAGGGAAAGACAACACGCAATATAGGGGAAGTCAGCATAACTTGACCAAGACAAAGTCATAGATGCTTCCTAGACACATTCAAACACCTTGAGGGACTGAGTTACTGGGGCTGAGGTCTGGAGACCATGATCTTGGGGGACATCTGGGTCAACTGGCATAACATAATTCATACAGAAAACGTTCTACATCTTACTTCGGTGAGTAGTGTCTGGGGTCTTAAAAGCTTGTGAGCAGCCATGTAAGATACACCTATTGGTCCCATCCCGTCTGGAATGAAGGAGAATGAAGAAAACCAAAGACACAGGAAAATATTAAGTCCAGGAGACTAATAGACCACATGAACCACAACCTTCATTAGCCTGAGCTCCGAAGAACTAGATGGGGTCCAGCTACCACCACTGGCCACTCTGATAGGGATCACAGTAGAAGGTCCCAGACAGAGTGGGAGAAAATGTGGAACAAAATTCAAATTCACAAAAAGGAAAAAAAAAAAAAAACAACAAAAACCAGACTTACTGGTCTGAAGGAGACTGGAGGAACCCTGAAACAATGGCCCCCGGATGCCATTCTAACTCACAACTGAAGCCACTCCTGAAGTTAACCTTTCAGCCAAAGATTAGAGAGGCCTATAAAATAAACAACACACATGAGGAATGTGTGTCTCAGTTCAATCAAGTATACGAGACCAAATGAGCAACACCTGCCCAAAAGCAAAGATGAGAAAGCAGGAAGGGACAGGAAAACTGGATAAACGGACACGGAGAACCTGGGGTGGAAAGGGGGAAAGTGCTGACACATTGCAAGAATTGCAACCAATGTCCCGAAACAATTGGTGTATAAATTTTTGAGAAACTGATTTGCTCTATAAACTTACACCTAAAGCACATTAAAATTAAAAAAAAAAGATATTGGACAGATGAGATACAGAGAAGAAAGGCTTGCATCCTTTAAAAACCCAGAATGTCATCTTTTCTTCCCTGTAACTATTATGGATGATGTATATTTGGTTTGGCCAAGGGCTATTCTTTACCCATTCATGTTTAAACTACAACCAGATCTCAGTTTTTCAAAATAAGAGGCAGGGAAGGAGTGGCTTAGTTCAGAGTCAGCAAACTATTTCTGAATGGGCCAGATAGTAAATATTTTAGGTGTCTGTTAGAACTACTCAACTCTGCCATACAAAAGCAGCCATACACAGTACGTAAATAAATGGGCGTGGTTGTGTTCCACTAAAACTTTATGGATGCTGAAATTTGAATTTCATATAATTACCATGTGTCATGTGCCAAGAAATAATATCCTTCTTTTGATTTTTAAGAACCATTTAGAAATGTAAAAACCATTTTTAGCTCAGGCCATACAAAAACAGGCAGCAGGCCAGATTTGGCTCACAGCCCACAATTGCTGACCCCTGGTTTAGCTATTCAGAACCACAGATGATGAGTAAAGAATGTATATATTTTGCTTTAAAATTTTATTATGTAACTTTTCCCTGAGAACATATATCTTGATTTCTGTATTATATACCCTCTGTTGACCTTTTAAGATTAGAACCTCCTATCAGTTCAGGCTGTCTTATATACAAGATGTGCAACAGTTAAGTCCTATCCCACCTCACTCTCTGACATGGTCCCTAATCTTGTCTGTGGGTGTCCCTTCAGTGACAGTAGACCCAGTATTTTGAGACCAGACCAGAGCAACAATATTTGTGATTATGTATTCAGTGGGTGCTGGCAAATAATTTTTTATATTCTGTGGAAATGAAATACAAAGATCATACTTAAAAGGGGATGCTAATATGTTTTGTTCATTAATACTCTTGATTTAGCTGCTTTACACCCAAGAATTATAAAGAATTGATTAATACAATTTTTTGAAATAGATGGGGCACCCCGAAGTTTATTTCAGACTAACTTTTCATAAAACTATAAATTAGAGACAACTCTAATTTTACTTCCAAACAATGTAACCTTACATGGATTTGAAAAATTACATATCAAGTTGTATGGAACTCTGTTGTATAAAGCATTGAAATTTACACTGGGAAATTTATTTTAGTGTTTTTAGTTTATATGCTCACTGACTTACGTAATAGGTTCTGTTGACATTCAGAAGCTGTCAGAATGTTTCTTCAGGGAGGGCTTGGTTAGGGTTATTATTCCCTATTGTATTTAAATATAAGATGGGAAAAGGGAGGTAATTTTAAGTGCTTTTTAATTCTAATGGGTGTCTTATCCCAGTGCTTTACTTTATTGTTTTGACTCTTCTCTCTTCCCTCTAAATAAAATTCTCCACTTGAAGCTGCAGAATTAGGAAGAGAAGTGAGGAGAGAATGGAGCTACCTCAGGGTGTCAGCAGTAGGATGGAGACCAGTCTGCCTACACTTGGGTTGATTAACATGGTAAACGTAATTAGAATGAGTATTTTTCACAAAGTATTAGAAGACACCTTCATACTTTACTTATATTACTTGAACATACACTAGCTGATTGGGGTGGGGGTTTGGAGGGGACAGTCCAGAAGTGTAAGATTATCATGTGGAAATAACCAGAAGTAGTGTCTAGTTCTACAGAGTCATGAATAAGGTATTTCAGGAAGCAACCTTTCACACTCTTCCATTTGAATCTAGGAAGTCGGATGCAGTGGAAATGGATGAGATGATGGCGGCCATGGTACTGACATCCCTGTCCTGTAGCCCAATTGTGCAGAGTCCTCCTGGGGCTGAGGCCAACTTTTCTGGTGAGGAAGTGGGGCCTCAATGGGTTCTGGGTGTGGCAGATGCCCAGGACTAACTTCCCTTGCTTTCGGCAGCTAATTGTGAAAATCACCAACCTGGCAGTAGTATTTCTGGAGTCTCTTCTCGCTTCCACCTCAGACTTGCTGAGTGATATTTAGTTAGATGCTTCCATTCTTTTTCCTCAGTGTCCTCATCTGGGGAGAAGTTTCCTGGTGCATTGTGAAGGTGATTGAGCCCAGGACTGAGCCTCTCTGGCCACTTGAGTAAGTTCTTCTACGGGAGTAAGTGGAGTGAGGCAGATTGGTGGGGACCTCAACAAGGCCAATGGAGAAATATTTAGTTCACAACAGTAGAAATATACTAAATGGTCCCCTAGTGGCCTCAGAAAATTCATGCCCCATTCCAAGTGCCTAACTCAGCCTTGTAAATTGGTGTGGGCCTACAGACCAAAGAAGGAGCCCTGGTAGAGCAGTGGTTAAGCACTCGGCTGCCAACCAAAAGGTCAGCGGTTCAGACCCTCCAGAGGCTGTGCAGGAGAGAAGACCTGGTGATCTGCTCCCATAAAAATTGCAGCCTAGGAAAACCTATGGGGCAGTTATACTTTGTCATACAGGGTCGCTAAACTCGTTGCTGTTGAGTCGATTCTGACTCATAGTGACCCTGTGTCCTATAGGGACTTGATAGCATACAACAACAACAAAACAGGCCAAGGACCTGAAATAAGTTATCTGAAGTCTAAAATGCATCTAATTGCTTCATAAAAATCAATAGTATTACTTCAAAGCAAATTTGTAAAGTAAAACAAATTTCCTCTAGTTTGACTCCAAAATACATTATCAGTAATACTGAAGGAAAGGTTTGCTGGATATTAGTAGTTTGACAAGACTGGTAGTAAACCTGAATTTTTTTTGAACTTCGTTATAGGATTGGCCTAACTTACTCCCAGGGAATAACTTTTTCATTGGTGAAATCTGATTGAATTACAAGTTACTCAGGAGCTTGTAGGAAAATATGGGGTTAGCTTTAAACACATGCCAGGAGGAGAGAGTGGCCTTTACAGGTATCCCTCATAAGTAATCTCACTAGATAGAAGTACGTTGAAAGGCATGATAAGTAACTCCTTTATTATTTCACCCAAGGACTAGGCTGCTAGAGTAAGTCATTGCCCTTTGATGGGATCTCGTAAAGCATAGTATTGTATACCTCCTCTGATCTGGTTGTGAAGCATAGTATTGTATGCCTACTCTGTTAGCACTTTGGAGCTACATTAGCAAAAGGGGGAAGAAAAGAGTCAATTTCAAGTTCTCAGGGAATTCTATAAGCTTAGGAGATCTGTAATAGTTAGTCAGCAGGGTGAAGTTCTAGGGAAGTGTCATAAAGGGAAAGAAAATCATTAACTTAATTCCCAGCAGAAGTGTGTGTAAGTATGTATTACACAGGGACACACATGTACACACACACCAACGTATACACAGCTCACTGATAATATGACATAATCCTGATATCCTAAGTTCCTTTTTGATAAAAAGTTTTTAATTGTCTATTAAAGATTTTTTTCCATTACAGTATATTTCTGATTTTATTGTTGAAGTCAGTGGAAAAATAAGTCCCTTTGTGCTCATTTTGTCAGTAGTATATACTAAAATTGGAATGATACAGAGAAGATTAAGGTGGCCTCTCTGTAAGGATGACATGCAAATTCATGAGGCATTCCATATTTTTGAGTGTCTTAATGGTGGTGAAATAATTTGGAAAAGGATAGTGGTGATGGTTGTATAACATGAATAATGTAATCAGTGTCACTGAATTATACATGTAAGAATGGTTGAATTGGCATATGTTTTGTTATTTATATTTTTACCACACAAAAATGGCTTCCTTGGCAGCTAATTATAATTGTATATATAAAGAGCTAATTATATTGAAATATTCTGCAGTGCGAAGTGTATACAACAACAAATACCTTGCCCTTATCGTGGCTGCTATTTGTACCTAAGTCACCTTTTCCCTTTGGTCTCTATTACTTGGGTGACTGTGTGTGTGTAGAGATGGCAAGAGCAGAGGAAATTGTAAATATTTCTTCTAAGTTCACTGTAAACTCTCAGTGTTCTTCATTTTCACAGTATTGAATATCTATTGTCCTTGCCCTAGGGAAACGTACTATCTACATAGAATAACTTATCAGTGACTTATGTTTATCATATAACTTATAGATTAATTTATGATATTAACTTTTTGCTTCGTTTTATATTTTTCTTCCTTTCTATGCCAATTTTCCAGTTTTGCAGTTTGAGCCATTTGAAGTGGTTATGCCCTAATCCTGTATAGGGAACACCTGTTGTATTTGTAGGGTTTGCTGCCGCCTGACCTGTCCTTTATCCTAGAGTCCTGATCACTCCAGATGTAGTTTTCTCCTGCCTGGAACTTTGATCCCTGCTAGGTTTCCTGAGTGGATGTGTGTGACCTTTTGGGTGGTTTCTGAGTTCTGCCCTAAAGGTCTACTCTGGTTTAACGCCCCTTTGTAGATATAGTAACCTCTTGCTTTCCAGGAAGGGAAAGCCACAGCTTTGAGACTTGGCAGTGATATTTAGGAAGGGAAGAGTTCCATCCTTCCTGTTCCATTCTGTTTGAATAGATGAGAAATTTAAGAAGAACCTGGGTTGGGAACATGGACAGCTAGGAGTCTGTTCCAGGTGTTTAGATTAACATAGAAGCAGTTTGGAATATGGAGCAGGGTGAGAGAAAAGCAGGAGGATTTTATCATTCCCATGAGGAATGTGGTATTCAGTCTTGACATCCAGGATAAGGAGGCTCCTTTGGAATGGCCGTGTTAGGCGTTGGGGCTCTTGGGGACATGAGGCATAATATCTGTTGGTTTCACAGCCCTCTGCCCCCTTCCTGCTTCTGTCTATCAGCATTTTAGATTCTCCTATAATATAAATTCAGATTTATGGCCTAGGAATGAAAGAGTCTGGGTTGGGTCTAAAGCAGCCTGAAGACAGACAGTTTAAAAACTGAGCATTTACCACACCTCACCCGACCTCTCCCTGTTGAGATGCACTGTTGGGAACAGGGCGGTCGGCTCAGGGCCACAGCAGGCATGAGAGCCTCCAGTCATCCTGTGACTAGTCATACTCTCAGAGCTTGTCTTTCCTTCTCCAAGTATGTCTCTTCTGAATAAAAAGAGGAGCAACCTGGGCTGCAGCTAGCGTTGGTAAATGTTATACCCACCTGATAGTTGTAAGAACTGAATGGTTTCTTTTCACTCACAGGTTTTAGTGTTCTTGCTGGGGCTTAAATTACTGAAAGGCATTTTTCAAGAAAGCATAGTCAGGAAGCTCTTAACTTGGCCTTTCCACCCTGGATAGGATGAATAGCTGTAGGGAAAGCTTTCCAGGTAGTATTTGACATACTTGTATGTGTGCATTCTCACCCACCCTTGGAGGCCTAAAAGGCAGGAGAGCTTTTTCCCTTCCCCACTCTCCATTTTTATCACAGCTTACAAAGGGGAGATTATTTTCTTCCCGGTGGAGTGGCAAAGCCAGACAGAGCCAGAGCCAGGAATTGGACTCCAGAACCCAGGCTCCCAGGCTAGAATTCATGGTCTCCCAACCTGGGCCATCGGTGCGGAATCTGGCATAGACAAGGCCATGCCAGAGCCCTGCCCAGATACAAACCGTGGGCATCCTCTTGTCTTCTCTCCCACCAGCTTCCCGCTCAGCCTGTGACCTGTGGAAGGAGAGTGGTGACGTGTCCGACAGCGGCAGCAGCACCACCAGTGGGCACTGGAGCGGGAGCAGTGGCATTTCCACCCCCTCTCCCCCCCACCCCCAGGCCAGCCCCAAGTATTTGGGAGATGTCTTTGGTTCCCCCCAAACTGACAATGGATTTGAAACAGATCCTGACCCTTTCCTGTTGGATGAACCAGCTCCACGCAAAAGAAAGGTATGTGGTGTAGTGTGAGTGTGAGCCTGGGCTGGTGGGGTTAATGTCTGTGAGCAGCTACGGGCAGGGACAGCCAGCAGTGGAGGGGCCCTACAGGTCCTAGATGTTCCCAGGTTCTGCCCCATTTCAGTTTTCTTTTACTGCTTCTATTACCTCATGATATATTCCCAGGAGCCTACTCCTTTTCATTAATGCAGTTCTGTTTTGTTTTTAACCTCTATCCCAATCCTTACCTTCTTTCTTGCACTACTACAGAGGCTTATGCATGAGAGGTCTGGTGGGCTCCTCTCTACAGCAGCAAGTCCTGCTGTTTACCATTAAGACTGTTTGTTGGGTCCAGGTTGTCAGTTTCTTTGGTCCTATAGAACCCCTTTCCTAGACACTTTTCTTGGGTTCTGCCAGAAGGCAGAGGGTAACAGCCAGTTGAAGCTGAAGTCTCCCCTAGGTTAGGATAAGAGAGGGATGAGGGAGAAGAACATATCCCAATTACCTGGTCTTCCTTTTCCCCTAGAACTCTCTGAAGGTGATGTACAAGTGCCTGTGGCCAAACTGTGGCAAAGTTCTGCGCTCAGTTGTGGGCATCAAACGACATGTTAAAGCCCTCCACCTGGGGTAGGTATGGAGCCCCATCTTTGTCTGAGGTACCATTCAGGGGTTCTTCCACCCTGCTAACTCCTTATGACCCACAGCCCAGAATGCTTTTAAGAAAAGCACTTGCTGAGAACACCTTTTCACCTTCCTCCTTCTTCAGGGGTTTATCCCTGCCCCTGAGCCGGGCAACATAGCCTGTTGAAAAGATAGGTGGGAAGGAAGGACCTTCCTATCATGATGAGTGATGACAATGAATTTGCTGTGGATGGGAAGGGAGTTCTATCCATCTTATGGATGTGTCTTCTTGCTGCACTGTAGGAAGCAAGATATGGTTTTGGTTCAGGATGGAAGTAGGGTAATTTGGTTCAGTCACTGTTGATACCCTATTGCCAAGAAGTACAGAGGCCGGGTTCTGGAGAGCCAGAGCTCCATTAGCATTGGCCTTCTGGAGCCAGGGACTTATTTCCATGCACAGCTGGGGCTGAGCCTCATGGCTGCTCATGACAGAGGAACTGACTCAGCCCTTCAGGAAAGAGCTTGACTGCAAGTAGATGGGGCCCGGGGACGACTCGTCGCCGAACTCAGAGTTGATAACTCCTGTGGGAGGAGAGGTTCTCACAGGTTCTGTGAGAGCAGAAGCCTTGGGCACCAGGAAAAACAGTTCCCACTGCTGTGCAAGAGCCTAATCCTCTGTAACACCACATCAGGAGATGGGCTTCTACGTGTTCTCTTGGGCTCCTTCCCTGACTTGCTCGGTGGCCCTGAGTACCTTGGGTTCCCCTGTTTTTGAACTGAGACAACTTGTACCTAATCATGGCCACATCTCCCTCCCACACAGGGACACTGTGGACTCTGACCAGTTCAAGCGGGAGGAGGATTTCTATTACACAGAGGTGCAGATGAAGGAAGAATCTGCTGCTGTTGCTGGCACCCTTGCACCTGGGACCCCCACAACTGAACCAGCTCCCACCCCTAGTGTGACCAGCACACCTCTTGCCATTCTTTCACCACCTCCTCCCAAAGCCCAGTCCTCAGGCCCGGAACACCCTGGCCTGGAGACTTACCTGCCCTCTGGCACTCTCAGCAAGTCAGCTCCTGGTTCCTTCTGGCACATTCAGGCCGACCATGCGTACCAGGTATGGGCTGGGGCATTCTGGTAGCTCAGCCTTATGTCTGTGAGGACATTCAGTATCTGGCTTGTGACTGGCCAGCCTCATCAGAGACCATTGACAACCCTGACTGAAGGCTGAACCATTTGGCCAAATTGCTAATCTCTTGTACAGAGAAGGAAAAAGAAAATCATTTCACACTCAATGAATGTGGGAATTCCAAAGTTTTAAATTGGTAGCTGTCATGAGTGGTGACTAAAAATCTAGCTGAATTCCCTAAGTAAGCAAGTTAATTTATTTGGGCTGGAGAATTATTATATCACTGTTTATTAAAGAGGATGGAATACTGGAGTTGGGGTTCCCAGAGCAAATCTCTAGTTCCTAGAATTGTGTTACATTAATAAACAATCCACCAACCATTTTTTAAATATCTACAATGTGTGAAGCATTGGGCTAAGCTTTCCAGATAAAATAAGACATAGTTCCTGCCCTTTTGAAGTGCATGGTTTAGCTGGAGAGAGAAATGAATATATAACTGTTTAATTATAATAAATAGTCAAAATAATTATGATGCATAAATATAATAAATAGTCAAAATAGTCAAATTATAATAAGTAGTTGGAAGTACCTTTACAAGAGCACGAGCAAAGTGTGTGTCCAGGAATGAACAGTCTGTTATGCCTGTGTGGTTGGGAAAGTGGTCATGGAGGGGTGACACTTAGGGTGGTCTTCACTGTACGTGAGCCCTGGTGGTGCAGTGGTTAAAGTGGTTGACTGCTAACCGAGAGATAGGTTGTTCCAAACCACCAGTGGCTCTGCAGGAGAAAGATGTGACAGTCTGCTTCGGTAGAGATATACAGCCTTGGAAACCCTGTGGGATCTCTATGAGTCAGAATCGACTCAACGGCAGTGAGTTTGGTTTTCACTGTACATAGTAGGTGCTCAGTGAATGTGCAGCTGCTATGTGCCAGTTTTTCTTAAAATCCTTGTATGCCTACAGTTTGGTTTTATCAGACTCTGGGCTGATTTGCAAGTTAGTCATTAAAAACAGGGCTTTCAGTAATAAATCCTTTCTAAAATGAGCCAGGCTTCCCTCTGATTAGAATGAGTGGCTGCTTAGCTATTTCAAGTTACCTAACTTCAGGTGGCCCCTTAGGCAACTGTGGTTCACATTGTGTGGCTGATCCTGAGTGTGGCTGATGTTTTCACAAACAGACCTAAACCTGTGCATCCGTGCAAGGGTTGTCTACCTTGAAGTAGTTGCCTGGGGATGCCGTACACTTATTCCAGCAATGCCACCCAAAGTCTTTTAGACTTCTTTTGGAACTGCCTATATCATGTTCTTGGTAGGTAATCAGGCTGAGATTTTAATTCTCTGTGATTAAGTCATGAGGCTGTCATGTTAACCAACTCTGAGAACAACTGTTAAGAAGAGTTCCAAAAAAGAGTAAAAAACCCATTGCCATCTAGTTGATTCTGACTGATAGTGACCCTATAGGACAGAGTAGAACTGCCCCATAGGGTTTCCAAGGAGCAGCTGGTGGATTCGGACTGCTGACCTTTTGGTTAGCAGCCGAGTTCATAACCGCTGCGCCACCAGGGCTCCAGGAGATGACTTCAAACATTTGGAAACTCTGATATTTCTCTTGGGAAGATGCATCTCTACTATCCCAGTATTTCCTGGTCATCTCCAAGATGCAGAGATTACACCTCGTGCTGCACAATGTGAAGTTACAGAATGATTGCTGGACTTTGAAAGCCTCCAGAGATGGAACCTTGGTTGACTCTCTCTTGTCTCTGCAGGCTCTGCCGTCCTTTCAGATCCCCGTCTCTCCGCATATCTATACCAGTATTAGCTGGGCTGCCGCCCCCTCCACTGCTTCCTCCCTTTCTCCGGTGAGTGGTCCTCAGCACTTTCTGGGGCTCTGGTACAAGCCTAGGGCTCTTTCACACATATCCAGTGCTAGAGGCCTCCAGCCCCTAAACCTCTCGAAGATCTTGATACACTCTCCCTGCTACCATAGCAATCCCTAGCTGGTCACAGGCTCTCTTAGAAAGTGAAAGCAGGGTGCTTACACAAGAGTATGGAGATTGAGCGGGTTTATTGCCAAGAAAATCTCCAGGCTAGGTTGTCTGTGGGTGCTGATTATGGTTTTAGTATCGAGGAGAGAGGAAGGGAGAGAATTCTCTGTAGGGGAGTTGAAGAGAAGTAGAAGAAGGTGGGAAAAAATAAAGAAGATAGGAGCATGTGAAGGGGTGTGTGGAATAGGTCAGAAATCTTGATGGCCACTGTGAACCAATGACTTCAGCTGCTTGTCCTTGAACTAAATAAACTGTAAGTAATTTTGAACCACACATGGTGAGCTCTAGTCTTAACTATCTCCTACAGGAAAGTTATCACACATGGCAAAACCTAAGTGGCAGAAGGTGCCATTGAGCCAATCCCTCCCCTTTGTTTTATAGATGGTAACTGTCTAAATCTCCTGTAGGGAGCAACCCACTAGATGGCCCACAAGTGGCTGCCTTTGACCCCTGCCCTTGGCTCGTATTCAGTTTTTACCCTTAAAGGCCTGCTCCTCATTCTTCAACCTCACCCCATTACCTGGCCCCTGTTGCAGAGCACTCATCTCTACCTGGAGTCCTCTTCCCCAGAAGGTGTCATTGCCTCTGCATTAGTGATGATATAGGGCCCAGCACTTAAAGGGGGCTCAGTCAGTGTTGCTGACTGTGCTGTAGGAGTGCTTCTCTCATTTCTCATGACTGCCCTCGTGCTCACGACCTGGACTTACAGCCTCTCTCCACTGTGCCCAGGTTCGGAGCCGGTCACTAAGCTTCAGCGATCCCCCACAGCCACCACCTGCAATGAAATCTCACCTGATTGTCACTTCACCACGGGCCCAGAGCAGTGCCAGGTGAGACGTTTGCTATCTTGCCTTTCTGGTTTCTGTCCCCACCATCTCTACTGGAAGTAGGGACTCTGAGTCCTCCAAATCATCATCACCAGAGTTAGTCAAGATTGGGGAGGCCATGTGGAGAATGTGCTGTTTGGGGAAGGCTTTCAATTTTCTGTGCTTCTCGCCACCTGCCCTCTGGGAGTCAGGCTGCTGGCCCTGTCGGCTTCAATTCTGAGCCACCCGTTCCAGTCTCTTCGTGTTTGCTCAGCCTCTTGCTTGGCTGCTGTCCAGTTCTAACCACCAGTGTGTGACTCTGTATTCTCATTACTCTTCCTTTGGCAGGAAAGCCCGTGGGGAAGCGAAGAAGTGCCGCAAAGTGTACGGCATTGAGCATCGAGACCAGTGGTGCACAGCCTGCCGGTGGAAGAAGGCCTGCCAGCGATTCCTGGATTGAACTTGTCGAACCGGCTCATCCTCTGTTCTTTCTGGCCCTGACCTGCAGCCGGATGACAAAAGGCAGACGTGTCACAAGAAGCCCTCAGCAGAAACCTAAAAGATAAAGGTGAAAATGTGGATTTGGGGCTCTACTGGCCAAAGTTTAACACTTAAAGCATTTTTTTCCCCATGGGGGAACATTTTATTTTTTAAAAAAGAAACAAAACTATTTTTCCCCTAAAATAGGAGAGAGCCAAAACTGAGCGAGGGTATTCTACAGTAAACCAGAGACCAAAGAATGAATGACCCTCCCTTTCCCACACCTTGTTTCTCTAGGGTATTAGTTTGTACGTATCAAAAGAAGGAACAGCTTATTCTGTTTCTTGCTGAGTTGGTGATTTCTTTGCTTTCTCAACTCTTCCAGAAGGAACTGTGAGCAAGATGAATTTACTTTTGTTAAAAAAAAAAAAAGTTTCTGGCTGGTCACTCAGAGAGCAGGACCCATCGCGAATGGGGGTGGGAAGAGTCTCTGTGCACTTTCCAAGGTGCCACCTCCTCTTCTCCGTCTGAATCTGGAGAAGGGAGCTTTTGTCCTTCTCACCAAGCCGCTTCTATGGAAGTAAAAGCGAAACCCTTTCTTGGTGACAACTCTTTGACTCTGAGTTCTCTCAGATGTTGGGTTTTCTCCCAACAAATATTATATGGCTTCTTCTCAAAGCCCAGGCAAATAGGTTTTTAAAGACTGTCCCAAATTAGCTGAGCCAAAAGGCTAAAGATAGTTCACTTTTTGAAATGTGGCAGTTTAACACTACCTTGATCATTCTTTCCTATTTCTTTGAGGAAATGCTAGAGGGTTTTAGTATCTGTGAAGCTCTCTGCTGTCACTGCCCTCTTGATGCCTCCTCCCTCCATTTATGGAAATGATTCTTCTAAAACACTTTGTTTTCTTCCGTGATTTATTCTGAAGCCTTTATTCTGGACACTCTATTAAAGTGCCCTCTTACTTCAGTGATCTTCAGAGACCCTGGTAGGTTCTTCACCAGGGATGCCTCCAATATCCCTCCTAAGGCTGCAGGTGGGGATGGCCGTGGAAGAGGGAGAGAGAAGGGAACAGATAGAAAGGCAAGTGGCAGATGGCTCCCATGATGGAGAGGGAGCTCACAGGTCCCCAATTGTTCTATTATCTAACTTTCCCCTTTGGGAAGAATCTAAACTTATTCCTAAGGTGAGAAGGAGCCCAGGACTCTTCAGTTAACACAGGAAAGTTGTTCTGGATCCTTTGTCCAGTGTTGGTCTAGTCAATGCGATGTGGAGGGTCAGTTTGATGGTTGTAACCTTCTCAGATGCCTGTTGAGCACCATCTCTTGCCTGAAGGTAGGATAGTTGGATGTTAAAGAGACTCCTGGGGCAGGAGTCCTGGGGTGTGTGTGAGGTTCAGGCTGAGGAATCAAGTGAAGAAGATGTGGGGTTGAATTTGCAGCTACTAGAGTTTAGGCCTTTAGTGTTTCTGGAGACCACAGGAATTTAAGGGAACCTGGGCCGTGTTGCTTGTGAGGTAAATAAGCAAAAATATTGTTGTTGGGAAGGGAGATTTAGGGAGTTTATTGCCATGCTAGCTAATGATTAATAACGACTGAGTGACATGGGCCCTGAAAGTAGGGCAAGTTTTTGTTTTGGAGCCTCACCTTTCTTCTAAGCATGAAGAATTCCCCAGGGCCTGCTTGAGTGTGGCCACCAGTGCCAGTTATCCTAAGGAGTCCTGGACCTGCATCCCAGATGTCAGGGCTCAGGGAATCCCACCAGGCCACCTCTCCTGGGACTGAGCAGCAGCGTCTACCCCTTGATTCTAATCTAGGCTGTCCTCTTGGTCCCAGGTGAAAATACCTGGCTACTGAAGTTCCTTTGGCCAGCCTCCCGTGGGAAATACACATACACTTTTCAATCCAAGGCACATTTAATGTTAAAAAAAAAAAACAAAACAACCCTGCAAGTCTAAGAATAGGGGTGTGATATTGTAAAGGATGATGGTGGCTTTGTTTGGTGATAGAAGGGAAAGGCACACTTATGCATGGGTGTTTTTGGTGGTGATGGGAGTATATTTTTAAACTTAGTTAAAAAAAAAAAAAATTATGTGGGATTCTGATTCTTGGTAAAGCTAGAAACCAGGCCAGTAAGAAGTGGCCCAGGGTTCTTCCTCTTCTCCCTTCTGCCTCACTGAGAATTAAAAGCTGACATCAGGCTATTACTTTTCCTCCCCATGTTGTTCATGTTCAGATCTCAGTGGTGAGGGGAGGGAGCATTTTGAGAAGTAGGAACTCGGCACAGGACGATCATCCCTTCTCTTCTAGGCAGTTTTCTTAATCAGAGCTCTTGCTGAGTCTCTTCCCTAGAAAAGTTGCTTTACTTTCCCCGACTCAGTTTGGACTGTGTAGATAGATATAACTGGGTATAAAGATTTTTCTCTAAGTGAGATAGGCTTCTCATGTCACTGGTGCACAGGACAGGAAGGGATGATAAAAGAAGAAATTGATGGAACAATTTAAAAACTGAGGTTTTTTTTTTCCTTTTTCTTTTTTTGGTGCAGCCTTCCCTGTCTGCATTTGCTCCTGCTCTCATTTTGGTGGTATTGGTCTCCTCTGCCCCTCTGCCTGTTCTCTCCTCTGTCTTGTTGCTGTTGTGTTGGTTCTTGACATGTGATCTGTCCTAGGGGTTGCCCCATTTGTTTTTCTTGGGGGATGGGAGTGGTTTGTGAATTAATCAAGTGATCATGCCTGTTTTCTTCATCTCTGTATCTCTCTACTTCCCAGCCCAGCCAGACAGCAGAATCCGATTGAGGGAAGATGCCAGAGGTGTGCTTTTGAAACTAATAGGACTGATTTTCAAAGCAGTTACCTTGGGAAACTGTACATTTATTCCAGTGATGTCACCCTTATTCAAAATAGTTCTTGGACTTAACCTTCAAAGTCTGTGGTGCTGTTTTTTGAATTGCCTTAATGATGGTAAATCACAAGTCTGCCAAATCATGTCTGTGGTCAAGTGGGGTAGTTGAGGTCTTAGGTGCAAAGCAAAAGGACTTACTATTGAGTAAAATTGCTTGGATTTATTTAGGTGGCTTTTAAACTGGCTCTGAAAGCAATTCTGTGATTTCAGAGAGTGTTTTGAGCAATGGCCACATGTTGTAGTAAGTCTACAGCTTCCCAAGGTGACTCTTTGAAGGAAAATAGTATTTTGGGTTTGGAAGCTCTGGTTTGTTTGAATAAATCTGTCCTGTTACTTTCTGGTTGGTCATCTCAGGTTCTGACTTTACCAAGGGCAAAAAAGAGAAGAGGGAGATAAATCCCATCTGTGAATTTGTCTTATTGGCACCTTTTCCCTGGCTGTCTTCCAAGTATTATTTTTACTGTTAAAAATTTTTTTAAAAATGTGAAATGTAATGTTTTTACAGCAGCAATATGAAATATATTTTATAAAGAATAAAATGGTACATTGTTTGATTTAATTTGTGCCTGTCCCTTTGCCCTCTTCCCCTGCAAAAAATAAGATCATTGTCCTTGGTGTTAAGCAAATGATATCATGTCACATTGTTGGCAGAGCATATGCATCCATTTGCTCATAATAACGGTAGGTAATATTTACCAGATACTAGGCCAAGTGTTTACATAGATTACCTGAAGTAAATCCTCACCATAGCCTAGGTGTGAGTTATTATTCTCATTCCCATTTTGCAGATGTGGAGACCGGGTTAAGTGACTTGCTCAAGGTCATGAACTAGGCAGTAATGGCACCAGGATTCTAATCCAGGTGGTAACTGTTTTCTATAATGTTTATATTGACAATGGGGAGCATATTCTTGGCCATATTCCTGTGTCTCCTGGAGAGTGGCCCAGTATAAGATAATAGACTCAAGAGAAAACAAGTCACACTCTACTTACAGGATGGGTTCTGAACCCAGGGAGCAACATGGTTCACTCCCTGGTCATTCCCTAAAGATAGTCATTCCATGTATTGTGATGGCCCAGATGTCTAGTTAGAAGCTGGCCTGGGTGGGAAGGATGGTGGAAGCAGAAAGCATCATCCCACCCTTGCTACTAGGAGCCCTGGTGGCACAGTGGTTAAGTGCTTGGCCACTAACTGAAAGGTTGGCAGTTCGAACCCACCAGCGGCTGTGCAGGAGAAAAGACCTCTCGATCTCCCGTAAAGATTACAGCCTAGGAAACCCTATGTGGCCGTTCTATTCTGTCATATAGGGTCGCTATGAGTGGAATTGACTCTGTGGCGCACAACAACAACCCTTGCTGCACCGGGACTACATGATGCAATTTTAGTTGCTGAAGTTTAAGAAAGACAGTGAAGCAGCTATAGACTCAGGGAAGACTAAGTAAAATAAACAAAGCTTGAAGAAACCGGAGATGTGGAAATGTGTTTAAGCATTCAAAGTATACTTAAAATAAGGGGAAATTTTTTGCCCTTTTAAGAATCCAAGGTAGGGGGGTGGAGGGCAGATGAGAGACTCTTGGTTAAATCCTTTTCATATTAAGTCACACTGGTTGTATGAGAGAAGCAGGTGCTGAGTAGTGAGAAGTTGATGTGCAGTGACAGGGGTATGCAGAGGAGGAGAGAAAGCAGAGGCATTCAGAAGCTTTTGGGGCTGTGAGGCAGTTCTAGGAGTGGGGATTAGGGACCCCTAATAATGCTTGATGGTGAGAGTGATGCCACCTCTGAGGAGATGCAGGGACCTGAAGACAGAAGTCAGTCAAGCCCAGTAGCCTGTGAAGCAGGTGAGGGAGGTTGTCTTTTTCTTCCATACATTGGGGTAGAATGGAGGACTTCTTTCTCCTCATTCTGTTTTTCCTTGCCCCACCTCCTTCCCTCTAAGAAAGTAAAAAATACAACCTGTCTGTCCTCCAAATCAGTTAATTGCCTTTGTGCCAGGTTTGTTTGCAGCTCTGTGCCCTGGGAGACTGACCTTTAGGGTTGCATCAACAAATGCCCAAACATTCTGGCTTCCAGTTGGGTTTGGCCAACAGGAGATACCAGGCTGGAGTTTGAAGGGTGTGGGAGGAGAGAAATTGGAGTATTGAGTCCTCTGGCTGCTTAGCAAAGTATATAAGTGGCTATATTTCTCTACTGAAAGCTGCAGAGCACTACAGTTCTCACTGGGTTCCAGAGACTTCCTTTTCCCTGTCAGGACTCCCCAGCTCCCCAAAAAAGTACTATCCCTTAACTGATTTCCTGTAACCTTGTCTACTTTTATTAATAGTCCTTTCATTTAACTCTCCTCAGTTACTCCATTTGAGGTGCTGTATATTTCTTGTCTGGACCCTGACAGTTGCAGCGCTTAACGTGTTTATTGTTAATTGGAGATAAAAATGACATCAGCTTGTTAGTTTTGGCTCCACCCTTTACCTCATGTCCCAATCCAGTGGTTCCCAAAGTGTGGTCCCCAGCCAGCAGCATCTGCCTCACCTAGGAACTTGTTAGAAATGCAAATTTCTAGTGTGTCAGAACCTGGAACGCCACAGTTTGCCCTCTCTGTGAATCTGATGCACACTAAAGTTTTGAGGACCACTGCCGTCCTTTGTCCCGTCCATCCACTCCACACAGCTGTGTGCATCTGTTTCCCCCCACTTACTCCACTTGAATCTGGCAACACAGTATAGTTGTGGTGTGTATGCTCATGTATCTTGCACTGTATACTTTATATAAAGCAGCCTTTTGCCTCTGCCTTCCAGGGAGAGGCAGTTTTGATTGTGCATGTGAAATCTTAAAACAGCAAACTGATTTATTAACCATTTGCTCAGTAGAAGTTTAATGGAGAAATATTTGTTTAAAACATTCAGTCAGTAAAGGACAATCCTTTTACAAACAAGTTATGGCAGTGACAAGTCAAAACCCCAGGCTTGTATTTGATTGGTCATATTCTTTTAACCCACCCCTAGAAGAGGGAAGAGGCAGTTGAGAAGGAGTGATGGGGCCATTTAAATGTTAGCTGGAGAAATTACAAAAATACACTCTGATGTAGCAACAGGGGTGTTGTGAAACATGCCATGGGGGAGACAGTAGGTACAATCAGAGAGTTCTCCCTGGGGGTGGAGACCTAGAGGCAAAGCCCTCAGCGCCGGCGGATGCTCACGGCCTTGGGGAGGAAGGAATCCTGATTTTCTGCTGGCAGGTCAGGGGCTGGAGACATGCTGTTTTGGGGATCACCCAGACACCTGGGGAGACAGAAATGGTTAAAATGGCAAACCCAGTAGTTTTTCTGACTCTTCAATCCTATCTGCCTGTTATTCAGTCCTCTTTGACTCAAATGATCAAAAAGAGGCAAAGAAAAGCTATCAACCCAGTCATTAGTCCCTAATGTAGCAAGAAGCGTTCCCTAACTCCCTCTGTACCTCTGTTCCCTGATTTGAGTCTATTGTCAGGACTAATGGAATAAAGGGAAGTCTGTAGGCTGTGACTTGAAAAGCATAACAGTAGGCCCCCTGCCTAGAAACAGTGTCTCTTATCCCTGGTATTTGGAATTCCATGTCTAGCAATTCATTTCTTTAGGCTAGATAGTGTCCTCATTTATAGTTCTCTTATATTGCAAGTGCTTTTTAAGCCTGATGTCACTAATACCTCACCATGAATGAATCTGCTCACTTTCCACTGTCTAGAAGAGCCAAAGCCTGGGGCAGAGGAGAGCACCAGGGCCAGGGAAAGGGAAGAGAGACACCACGACCAGCTGTGCCCATTTCACAGTTCTGACTAGGGCCAGTTCTGCACCGCACCCCCCCCACTTCCGAGGACATCATTGCACTTTCTGAATAGGATTCTTTATCCCTCTCCCGTGGTATGTGACCCCATTTCTTCCCAACCTTATAGGTTGAGGAGAATGCTAGATTGGTTTTTGATATCTTCGAAATCAAGAACAGCTTTGGTAGCAGGAGTCCCCCATGATGGAGAAAGGACAATAATTGTAATGTAGGTTGGGGTGTGTGTATGTGAAGACAAAGTTTAAGTTGCCTGTTCTAGACTCATAAATACATATCCATATTAGAACTCAACAACCATGAATGCATGGAAAAATAGAGAGGTGGTTGCAGAAGGAGAAAGAAGAGCAGTTGGTGATACCTAAATGAGCTGGTTAATGTTTCCGTTAAGAACTTTACATCTTGGGCAAAGTAGCAGATGGAAGCTAGTTACTAGCTTTGTTTCAGCTCGTCTCAGTTGGAAGCATAGTAGAAAATTAGAAAAATCAATTGCCTGAATAGGGGCTCGAATGGCTTTTTGAAATAAATTGATTCCTGCTAGCGTGACTGATTTTCAACTGTCTTTGGGTAAAGAAAACTGATCTAGTTCAGAATTAGACATGAGTTTTAGTGTTCCTTAATAACCACTTTAAAGAAGAATGTCTTTAAAATTTGAAAGAATTCAATACCTGTTACTTCTGAAAGATTTACTGTTAGGTACTGTGTGGATATGGCTTAGGAAGAAATAGAATGCTTGTCAGGATCCAAGAAGATGACTTCAAAAACAGAGTTGAGGTTAATTCAGGGCCTTTGGAGATTAGTTATTCTGCTAAAATAAGCATAGCAGCCTTTCCTCACCACTTAATACATATGTTCATATTTGGCAATGGGCCTGTTGCAAACAAGCTTGCCTACCTGCAAAGAGCTACCTTCAAAGAGCTCTGCCCCCATGCCAGGCCAGAGATTAACACAGATATTAATATACTTGAAGGAAGATTACTGATGGTCTGGCTACTTCTGACTTACGGGAAATGAAATAAAACAGCATATGTAGATTATTATTTTGTTAATGCCTCTGAGAGTCAGGGAAAAGCCCCACTTGGGTAATATTTTAGGATGATTTTGATGGACTGACTCTTTGTATTAGGTCAAGTTTCTAGAATGTTTAAGGAGAGCCATGGCACTCTGCAGATGATCATATTCCCGTATACAAATTAAGGCAAAGTGTGTGGTGGTTGATGAACAAGTGGCTTGTGGAGGAAGGAAAATCAGAAAGCATAACTACTGGCCCTAGCATGAACTCCTGGACTGGGGGAGAGTGGGAAAGTTTAATGGTTTCCATGGAATCCAGTCACCTTAATACATAGTGGGTAAGGGAGAAGATAGGTAAGCTGTCTTTGAAGATGAAATAACAGCATCATAACCACAGTAATCAGACCCTTTGCAAATGACTAAGAGTAGGTCCAGCTATTGGTTCTTAGAGATAGTCTCTGAGGAAAGGTGAGCTGAATGGTTGCTATGGAAACCGAATAGGAGGATTGATCCCTTAACTGTCCCCATAGTAACTAAGCTCCTGGAGAGATGTAGAAGAATTAGTTATCTTAACATACTACTATTATCCCCATGGTAACCAAGCTTTAAATGAGAGTCGTCAAAGAGCAATCCTAGAAAAATCTTTGCTCCCTAAAGCAAAGGTGGGCCAATTAGTCCCCCTGTTCAGGAGGGACGGAGATGACTCTACCTCACAGACCGCACAGTAGCTGAACTCCTTGAGGTTCTGTGTTGTGTGTGTGTGTGTGTGTGTGTATGCGTTGGGGGGGCGGAGGGATAATGCGCTTCTAAGACTGGGAGGAAGGCTAAGACAGTTGGGTGTCTGAAGTGTCTTCTTGCCCCCGGTTCATTTGTGCCCAACTCACTCATGGGTTGAAGTGGACGGTGCAGCTGGAAGGGGTCCCCCTTCCGGCTACGCATTACCATTCTGGTGTAGGGTGCGTCGGCGCTGGCTGGACTGCATGCTCAGGACGAGGTACTGCCTCATAAACTCACTGAACCGCTTCTGGTTGGCCAACTTCCGGGCCGACTTCCGGGCCCCAGTGAAGCCCCCGAACCTCTTCTGCAGCTGCTTCTGCTCCATCTCTCCAGCCTCATCCATGCCAGGCTCTGTGTCTTCCTGTGCTTGGAATAGGCTCCTTACACGGGGCATTCGCTTCAGATTTTGCATCTCAGATGCTCTTGGTTGGTAAAGAGCGGCAGCCACGTGCTCTGGGTCAGTAGGACTGAGCTGCTGGGACCTCCTGGTCAGGACCTTGGTGCACGGAGTCCAGAGAGGGCTTGGGAAGACCTTCTCTTCACACTCGAGGATGCACACCTGCCAAAAACAGAGGTGGGAGGAGGGGAAAAGAAACGGGGACCTCTATTAGTCCAAAGCAGTGGAGGAGATAAATCTCTCGATAGTCTTTATCTATACCAATGCAAGTGTTTCCAAAGCATCTATTTACCAGCAGCAGTTTTACACACAGATATTTAGGCTCATAAGGAGCCCTGGTGGCACAGTGGTTAAAGCAGTGGACTGCTAATGGAGAGATTAGCAGTTCAAAACCACCTCGGCTCCATGGGAGAAAGATGTGGTAGTCTGCTTCCGCAGAGACTTATAGCCTTGGAAACCCTATGGGATCGCTATAAGTCAGAATCAACTTGATTGCAGTGGGTTTGGTTTTTTGTTTTTGGTATTTACATTCATAGAATTTCAGAGTTGGAAAGAAACAGAACTATATGGTCAAACACTGTCATTTTACAAACGAGGAAACTGAGACTCAGAGAAATGAGGTTAATTTACTCAAGGTGACACAGCAAGTAGGTACAGAATGAGTGCACCAAAAACTGCATACTGTTACATCCGTAATTGAGTCCTTGGAGCCAAACACACTCATGAGAGTCACCCATAAAAAAGAATTTTATTTTGTTCTCTCATCAGGCTTGAGGGAGGTCAGGCTGGTTTAAGAAATTGGGAGTGTGACCAGACTGAGTCCAGCACAACTAGATGGTGCCTAGCTACCACCACCAACTGCTTTGACAGGGATCACAATAGAGGGTCCCAGACAAAACTGGAGAAAAATGTAGAACAAAGTTCTAACTCAAAAAAAAAAAGACCAGACTTACTGGTCTAATAGAGACTGGAGAAATGCTGAGAGTATGGCCCCTGGACACCCTTTTCATTCAGTACTGAAGTCACTCCTAAGGTTCACCGTTGAGCCAAAGATTAGACAGGCCCATGAAGGAAACAATAATACATGTAGCTCAACCATATATACAAGACTAAATGGGCATACCAGCCCAGGGGCAAGGATGAGAAGGCAGGAGGGGACAGGAAAGCTGGATGAATGGAAATGGGGAGCCCAAGATGAAGAAGGGGAGAGTGTTGACATGTTGTGGGGTTGGCAACCAGTGTCACAAAACAATATGTGTATTGTTTAATGAGAAACTAATTTGCTCTGTAAACCTTCATCTAAAGCACAATTAAAAAAGAAAAATTGGGGGCGTGAGAATGTATAGTTAAATCTGCATGTTTAAGGTCACCATGTAAAGACCAACCCTGGTGTTATTAATTTTTCATCCCACATACATTTAATCATCACTGTCTGTGCATCATTTATAGAAAATAGAGTCAGGCCACTTTGGGTTGTAGGTAGGTTGGGCATTTAGGGATAAACCTGCAATCCACTTTCAGGTGGGGGAAGAGGTGCCACCAGATGCAAGCCAGACCCCACGAGACCCCTGGAAACTCCCTGCTGCTGTTCTGCCTCTTCATCACCACCAATTTTTAGTCTAGGCCTCCAGCCTGACCATGATGTTTTTCCAACCCCTCCTAATTGTTTCTGACCTTTGCCCCATCCTCTGGGATTCCTGTCTTTGGTTGGGTCTTCTGGAAGTATCTGCCTCCAGCTTTTCTTCCTACTTGCTGTTTTGGCTTCACTCCTGAGTATCATCTCCATTTTCTGGCCTTAGCCAGATGAAAACCCCATCTCAACCTAACCTTGCCAAGAAGGTGCTTCATCCAACCTTGGAGCTCTTGCCTGGCTTACAGGGCATCAAGAATTACTGCTCAGTCTGGGCAGCTGCAGGACATCAGGAGATTGGTGTGTGTGTGCCCCAGAGCCCCTATCTGGGTAGCCAGAGCACTCACCCAGATGTTCAGGGTGGTACAGATGTCTCTGTGGGCAGAGTTTCCAACCTGATCCCTAACCAAAAAGTATGATGAGTGGGCAGCTTAGGTCACAGACCTTACAGGTTGTTCCACTTCATCCTAAAACAGACCTTAAACAGGTTGTTCCACTTCATCCTAAAAAACCCTTTCTTCAATCCTACTTCTCCTGCAAGCCTTTGCCACTACCCCCCAATCCATGAACCTCTTTAGTCACTGACAAGCTTCTCCAAGACGTGGTCTGCATGTGATGCCTCCATTTCAGCATCTTCAAGCTACTTCTCAACTCTTTGGAATCTGGTTTCCTCCCTCATCCACTCCAACTAAATTTGTCTTCTTGAGAATAACCATTGACTTCCCAGTCACCAGATCCAACCGCCCCGCTTAGTCCTCATTCTCATTGGCCCTGCAGCATGTGGCAATGTGGACCACACACCCCCTTCTTAAAACTCTCATTCTGATATTTCACTCAGCACTCAGACGGTGCTCCTTTTCCCCTCTGTTCCTAAGATCCTATCTTTAAACTTCTCCCCTTCTCTTTACACTCTGTCCCTTGGTGACTGTTCATTTCTGTGGCTTCAGTCATCACTTCTGTCAGGTTATCCCAGTTCGGTACTTCTAGCACCTGATATCTCCAGAACTGATGTTCTAACATACTGTACCTGCCCAGATACTACTCTGATCCCTGCCTTCTATCTCCACCAAAATGTCTCATGGGTACTTTAAGTGCAATTTGTTAAAAATGAAGCTTGTCTTCCCTTCTGGGGTATAGACTGCCAAGGGCCTATCCCGTATCCATCTCCCTTCTTCCTTACTAACAGAACATTCATTTTATTCCTTATAGCCAGAGGTGGCCAGCGACATATAAATGGAAGTGATTAAGTGGGGCTTCCAGGAAAGTAGGGGCTGACTCAGCTGGGAAGAACATCTTTTTTTCCTTCTTCCTTCCCTTCCTCTAGCTTCCTGCATAAGCTGTGGATGTTTTGGCTGGTGCTTAATTGGCCATCTTAAAACCATGAGGGGAGGCTGAGGATGGAAGTCACATGACGATGGAAGCCATGCACTGATGGAGCAGAAAGAGAGGAGTCTGGGACATTGATGACAGCTCAGGGCTATCTACCTCTGCCTTCTTTATGAGGAATCAAATCGTCTTATTTAAGCCATGGTTACTTTAGGTCTTTGTTACTAGCAGGTGAAAATAATTCTTGTCTGATATACTTTTCCCACCCCGAAGTCTTCCCTTCTGTTTGGTGTCTGTTTGTCTCTCTAGATGGCACCTTATTCCCCAACTCACGCAGGTTTAAAAACCTGGGGATATCTTTAACTTCTCCTTTCTCACTTCCCTCTTCCCCATCCAATTAGCATGCACATCTGCATTCCCTCTGCCACTGTCTTTATAGGGACTTCATTACCTCTCAGGTTGCAGTGGCTTTCTAACTGGTCTGTCCATCTCTGATCTTTGCCTCTCCAATCTATTTTATACTCCTGGCAGAGTACTCTTCCTGAAGAATAACTCAAATCACCTTGTTACCTTACCCACACTGTCCAACATTTTGTTGTTGTCCATAAAAAAAGTCCCAACTTCTGAGCAGAGCATTGAAGCCCCTCCACCATCTGGTCCAGTCCACCTTTTCAGTCTGATTTCTGATTCCTTCTCTCACACCACCCTTCAAGCATATGGGGCTGCTCCTAGTGCCTCAAACACACATAAGCTCTTCCCTCTGTTGGAATGACCTCCTTCCATCCACTCTTGGAACCAGAGCCAGCCCCTCTATGGCACCTTCCTCAATTCCTCCTGCCAGAACTACTTTCTCCTGCCCCTGTGTTCCCACAGAACTTTGTATTGCTTTTGTGGCAACTTTATTACTTAATATAATTGTAATACATTATAGGGCAGAACATGACAACTTAGGGACCACATCTAACTCATGTTTGAATCCTTTACAGGAATCTTCTGCATGCAGTAAATAGGGTTTCCAATAGAGGTTTGTTGAACTGGGCTGAATTAATCAAGTAGTGACCTTATACTTAGCTAGGAGTGAAAAAGGAAGGACACAAAAAAAGATGAGAAAGAAAGTCAGTGGAAGAACAGGAGTTGCAGCTAGTTGCAACCAGAACTTGAACTCCCCTGTTGTTGTATGCCGTCGAGTAGATTCCAACTGATAGCAACCCTATAGGACAGAGTAGAACTGCCCCATAGGGTTTCTAAGGCTGTAATCTTTACGGTAGCAGACTGCCACATCTTCCTCCTGTAGAGCAGCTCAGGGGTTCGAACTACTGACCTTTCACTTAGCGCTAAAGCCGAGCTCTTAAATATTGCACCACAAGGGCTCCTTTGAACTCTAGCACTCAGTAGACTCTTGTAAGGTAGCACTTGTCACCATTCTGCAACTCTTTGTTCACCTGATTTTTTGTCCGTCTCATTAGACCAGGGGTCTTAACCTTTTTTTAAGTCATGGGCTCTTTTGAGAATCTTAAGAAAACTATGGACCCACCCTTTGACTATATAAATGCGTACTTGTGTCAAATTTGTGTACAATTTTAGAGAGTCTGTAGATCTTCTAAAACCTATCTGTGGACCAGCCATCCATGGACACCAGGCTAAGGACCTTTTCACTTGGCTGTAAGCTGTTCTTGTGGATAAAGTCAGTAGACATTCCAAGCATCCAATGCCTGGCAATTCAGAGGCGGATTAACCAGTAAGCAAGGTGTGCATGGGCTTTATTGTGTTTACTTACTGATTTGTAGTGCACAGTTTCATATGGGTTTTACCACATCAAAGATGTGGTGAAAAACTGGTAAAATCATACACTATGGATTTAGTAAGTAAGCTCAAGTAAGCCTGTGCGTACCTTGCTTATTGGGAATCCATCTCTGCCTGGCATACAAAGTGGAGCCCAATAGTGAGGATGTGAAATGAAGCAAGCCAACAGGAGAAGGGAGGGGATTCTGCTTCAGAAGTCACGCAGTGGCCACATTGGGAGACCACCCCAGCTCTTCTTGTGTATCAGCAAAGCATTTCATACAATACTAGCACTAGGGGGGACCTCAGGCAACCCCTGGGGCAATGGGTCCCAAACCTGGATATGAATCCAAATCATCTGCAGAGCTTTTAAAAACACAGACTTTCAAGACCCAATTAAATCTCCAAGGGATATAATAGGAGA